CCCCAAAACCCCAAAACCCCAAAACCCCAAAACCCCAAAACCCCATTTTATATGATGGGTTTACAATTAATCAAACTTAAGAAGCAACTGTAGGGCAAAGTTTGAAGATCCTGACTGTAGCATCATTTGAGCAGGTTGCAACTTCGTACTCTCCTGATTCAGTAGTTGCTTCCTGCTTGAATTTGATTCTTCTTACAGTTAGAGAGTGGCTTAAAAATTCAGGGAATTTATAAGCTAAGGTCCATTCTTTTATGCTTGATTCAACCTAGAAAACTATTAAGCACGACTGCTAAATGACAGAAGAGACTCTATTCTTTTCATTCAGATAAAATGGCATAAACTAACTGAAACAAGATATAAAATCTCTTTCTAATGATCAGTTGCGAAGTTCAAAACTAAGTATAAATATCATTGAGCACTTACCTCTCTAGTCCAAATTGAAAGCTCTCCAGAGTCTACCCCAACCACAACACCGAAGGAAGGAGATCCTAAATTCAGAAAACCTGGGAAGAAAGCTACAGAGGTAACATTATTTAGTCCCTTTTCAATCTTGGATTCTTCCGCCCATTGGTTCTTCTCTTCACAGTATTCCCAGAACTTCAAAGAGTTGACTTTCTCTCTTGAGCCAGTTGCAAAATATTTGGAATTATGAGCCCATGAGCAGCACCAGAGGATTCTCTTATGAGCCTGCTTCTGAACCTGAACTATCTTAAAAGGCTCCTCTAAGTTACCACTTCTTTCTAGTACAGAGAACTGTCTGTCTCTTGACACACAGAGAAGATACTTATCATCAGGAGAAAACTCCATCTGATGTATAGTAAAATCATGAACTGGGATTTGGCAAATAGGATTCAGTGATTCAACAGTCCAGACAAAAATATTAGAGTATTTCTTCTGCTTTGATCTTGCTGCTGTCACAATATAATCGCCTGCTTTAGTAGTGGCTACACAGTGGATCTCGAAAGCATGGCCATATAGCTTACTTCTCTCTGGCCATCTAGTCTTAGTCATAAGATATTCTTCAGTAAGCATAATATCATTGTCAGTATCTTCGATAAGCTCTTCTCCTACGTTTAGTTGGTTAGTAAGGACGTCTGGCTCAAAATCGTCAACAGTAGTGCCTCCTTCCTTTGCTTCATCAACTCTTTGGTTCCTCTTTGGCATAACTGGCTTATTCATCAGTCCAAGAGTCATGCTAGCTACTTCTGGCTTTTTGCCTAGGATAGCATTCTCAACCTCCTCATTGGTCATATCCTCTACAAATCTAAGATCATCCTGATTGTACTTGTTTGCCGATTTAACAAATGTGAAAGGCGAGTTGAACACTCTCAAAATTTTCTCATCAGCTCCAGCCACTAAATGATCTGGGAATTTATGCTCAGATTTGTTATCCCTACTCAGCACAGATTTTAAGAAGCTCACACAGTTTATGTCATAACCATGAACTTGAGGTCTTGAGACCTCATGCCACCTATCAATTTTGTTGCAGTGAGAGAATATTCTAGTCGTCTGATCCTTCGAAGTTGTTGCCAGGTATTCTCTGCTTGTATCCCAATCAAGATCAGGAACTTCATCAAAATGGCCTGTCACACAAGGCTTATTATACCAAACATCGTCCTCATTATCCCATCTATGGAATGCTCCATTAAAAGTAAAGGCAAATATTGATGTAGGAGAAAGGAATTCTGCTCCAAAGAAGGCATGCTTGTTCCCAGACATCTCTCCAAGAGTTGTCTGGACCATCCAAACTCCAGCTTCCTTATCAATTCTCCAAAGACACACTGTGAAATCAAAACTAGCAGTGAGAAGAGTCAATCTATTCAACAAATCTGCTTCTCCTCTCTCTTTGTCCTCATAAATCTTCACTGAAGACACTGAGCTAGAGTGATGTTGTAATACAGAAGAAAGAGTAATATTGTAAACAGTGCTGTCTCCAAATCTGAGGATATAAGAAGTCTTGGTCTTTAAGTGCTCAACTGCATACTCAGTCTCTTCTTGTTTCTTAAGCTCCTCTTCAGCTTCTGCATCACTGATCTTACAAATCTTCCAGACTCTAACAAGGCAGTCTTGTGAGCAACTGAAAATATATCTGAGGTCATTCTCATAAGACTCTGTGACACAGTAATCTCTAATAGAATTAGAGTGCCCAGTAAGCGAAGTATGATACTGTATATTTCCGTCCTCCTCGGATTGAGTGTCAATAGTATAGACATGCACATTTTTATCAAAACCTCCAGTGAGCAGCATAATATATCTATCATTAACAGGAAACATTTTGAATGCTTCTTGCAGATTTTTGCCAAAGTGTAATCTTCCAGCTAGCTTAATATCCTCTTGGAGATCCATATCTTGACTTTTCCAGACCTTAACTTCTCCATCTAAGCAAAAAGAGGTGATGTACAGGGTGTCCTTAAACCTGGTAGATGTGACTATATTTATTTCTGCAGTATGAGCATCTTTATAAACCTTCTTCTCCCATTTCATACTTGCGACATCGTTAGTTTTCCAAATAATCATGGTCTTGTCTGCATCTACAGAGACGAGGGCTGTCAAGCCCTCGTTAGTATCTAGCAGAGAAACATTATTAACACGGCCAGTGTGCCCATTCAATGAATAAAGTACCTTGTTTTGTTTATAATCGTACACAAGTATAGTGTTCTTTATTCCATAAAAGATGTAGTCTCCTAATGCAATGACATTCCGAATAGTTGAACTGTTAGCTGCTATCAGCTCAGGAGAAACATTCCAGCCTGATTTAGACTCTTCCATTAATTAATTATCCAATAAATCTTCAGTTTTGAAAATAATTTCAATAGATTAAGTACTTTAAGGGGTTTTGGGGTTTTGGGGTTTTGGGGTTTTGGGG